AACATTTCTTTAGTTGATCACTTTTTGATAGCTTCAAAGACAACTGAGATATACTGCTCTGAACATAGATTACTAGGAGCTTCCATCACAGGATGTACCCTCACAGGGTGTAGTCCCAAACTTCCTTCTAACTCTTTGCCAAAGCGCCGAAGGCGCGTCATCTTGTCGCCTAATCCATCACAATTACCTCACCTTCCCCTAAAAGAACCGACAACTGTCACTTGGCGATAATTACAACAGTAGTGTTTTGACTGCCTTTCAAGTCGACCGGGAAGAAACACCGACGGATTTAGGAAGATTCTTTTAGGTAAGTCGGTGTTATGAACAGAGTGAGAACCATTAGATTGGGTGGATTAGAAGGGTTTTGATGATACAAAGAGTGCCGTCAAACCTGTAGTAGTAGAGTACTGCACTGGTAAGGATAACTTGCCCAAACGTACTGGGTGTCAAAAGGTACACCGTCTTTGGAGAGCGACTTATCTCGATTGTCTTTAATGCTATCAAAAAATTTTTAACTGGTGAAATGTGCAAAATGTTTTGCTCAACATTTCTTTAGTTGACTACTTTTTAATAGCTCCAAAGACAACCGAGATATATTACTCTGAATATGCAGTACTGCGTGGACTATAATACAGGATCTACTGCATGTTCAAAGCGGCATATCTCAATTGCCTTTGATGCTATCAAAAAATGTTCAACTAGTAAAATGCTTAAAATGCTTTGCTTAACATTTCTTCAGTTGGTCCCTTTTTGATAGCTCCAAAAGTAACCGAGATATACAGCTCTGAGCAGACAGAGTGTCTAAATTACACGATTTACGGTGGTATCTTATATAATTATCTAGATCTTTTATTGCCAATCTTTTATTGTTTGAAACACACTAATCCCATTATCCTAGCCTCCCTTTTTGGACCCCTTTAGACCGCTCCACCCGACTGTCTCTAACCCGTCCCTCTCTTCTTCTGGGCCTTTCTCCGCCCACCCAGAACACTCCAGAATAGTCTCCGCCCATCGCCACCGCAGAGTGGGTATAAAAGACTCCAAATCGTCATACACTAACCGATTTTCGCGGACCACATCCCGTTCTTTGCATTTCCCTCACATTTGTTGACCTCGTTTTTCTTGTGCCCCCATTTTTATATTTTTCACTGCTAAAGAAAAAATCAGGGGTGTCTTTTTGTATTCTACAACTCCAGTTTCATCGAATTCTCGCTGAAAACCTTACAAACCCCTAAATTTCTTCAAATCGAAGCCAATTTTTCCTCTTTTATTTTTAAAATATTGATGACGCGCCTCCGGCGCTTCGGCAGAGGAAGCACGACAGTCAGGGGTGCGCTTTTTTCACTAGGACAAAAATACGGGTCCAATTTTGTCAAATCCCATTTTCCTAACAGCTAAAGACCCTTCGAATTCAAAAAAAAATCCTCTAAGCTCACAATCCCATCATCTTTTTAACGTTTTCCAAAACTTCGTGATGCGCCTCCGGCGCTTTAGCATAAGAGATACGGGGTTAAGGGGTTTCATCTCGTCAAATCACATCTTCCAAACAGCCGAAGACCCTCGAAACTCAAAAAAATCCCGTTAGGTCCTACGAATCAAAGCTCTTGATCCCATTTTTATCTGGGTCATTTTCCAAAAATCCATGACGCGTCTCCGGCGCTTCGGCAATCTTATCTTCTACCTTATGTTGTGTAAACACTTTAATTGTTCTTCACTAACCACATTATCTAATCTTCTCGCTCTGGACCTTTTTATACCGCTCCACCTGACTGTCCCTAACCTCCTCCCCCTTTTTTCTGGGCCTTTCTCCGCCCACCCAGAACTCTCTGGACCATTCTTGACTACCACAGAGGGGTATGAATACTCCTAAATCGTCATACACTAACACCTGTTTTACCTAATCTCGGTCTGCACCCTCTACTCCTCAAACTTGCAAAATCTAGTATTTTTCTAACTAATTTTGCTCTGTTCCGTCGTTTTTCCCGGTTCCTTTTGCCTCGTCTGGGGTTCTACCCACGTAGGTACAACAGGGAATGTCAGTAAGTGCGCTCTTCTGCCAATATTGAAATTTAGTTCCCAAAACAAGCTCCATTCACTGTTTTAAACCTCAATCGTCTAGTTTTTTCCAAAGCTTTATCAATAGAGCATTCTTCCTTTCCCCCTCCACCTTGTATCTCCCACACCTTTAACCTATCTCTTCTTGTCATAGGCCCTTTTCCTAACCGAATCATTACAGAAGGCTCACCATCCAACAATGCAAGCCACCATCACCACTCCAGTCAAGACCCCCACCGCCGTCCCACGTTTGGCCGGAGCCGAACAAGTCGAGGGGGTCATCAGAAGGCCATCATTTGGCAGGGCAATCGGAGCCCCAATCAAAATGGATCCGGAGAACAGGAGAGGTAAGTACCCCTTAGAAAACTCTAGTTTTCACCATCCTTGCAAAAAATCACGGGCTTTTTACATGATTTTTACCCCTCCACCCACAATTTTTTCAGCTCCGGATCAAATCCACGGCGCTCCGAAGGCGGAGAGAAGCCGCCGCCCATCACTGGACCAGGCGCTCCCACCACCACCAGCAGCAGAGGCACCCAGGACCCCGAGACGCCGCTCAGAGCAGATGCGGCTCCGACAGAGGACGCCAACGGCGTCGCCAATCCGGGGCGAAGGCGTGGTCATGGAGCCCCACGCGCCGGTCCGGGCGTACAGGACAGAGCCCCGGGAGCTGAACATGGACAACCCGAGGAGATCGATTTTGGATGTTAAAATTTAGATTTTATTTTTGAAATCTAAGTTTTTTGTTGTCATTTTTCTGTGATCTCCGAACCCCTCTGCCCCAATCCAGTGACTTAATCTCCACACTTTTTCCCGACGCCCCATTTTTTTTCGAAATTTTAAGTTAAGTTTTAATAAATTCATTCTCATTAATACTATTCAAACTGTACAATTTTCATTTATCTCGGATGAAAACTGACCGAGATACGACTGAAATTGTATTTTCGTGACGAGACTCAAAAACTCAAATTTTCAAATTTTCTCAAAGCCAGTCATAATTATACTCGTTTGAACCTCTCGTCCTTGGGCCTCTACTTTCAGTCCTTGGGCCTCTACTGTTTCTCCTTTTCATTAACGACATTGGAGACAAATTTCAGTCTCATTTTTTGTTATATGCTGATGACCTTAAGCTGTTTTCAACTAACCTGTCCACCATTCAGACAGATCTTGGTCTCTTGTCTGAATGGTGCGACAAATGGCAAATGTCAGTGGCTCCTAACAAATGTGAAAATATTATCTTCAATCTAACGAAATCTCCCAGAACCCTAAATTTTGATTTTACTATAAAAGGTTCAAAAACTCCTAGAACAAAGAAAATTCGTGACTTGGGACTTATTCTTTCCTCTGATTTGTCGTTCTCTGAGCACATAGACACCATTCTCCGGAGAAGTCATCAAAGAATTAATATATTTTTCAACATCCTCCGTCGTGCTAGTTTCGAGACCTTCATAAAATGTTACACTATTTATGTTAGGCCGATTCTAGAATATGGCTCAATAGTGTTTAACCCTGTTCTCAAAGAACAGATTAAGCGTATTGAGTCTGTTCAAAAGTCGTTTGTATATAGAGTCTTTAAAAAATTTCATATCCCTTATTTAAATTATTTTGACGCCCTTTCTGTTTGTAACTTAACTTCTTTAGAATTACGTAGACTACACGCCGACTTAGTATTTTTGTATAAGGTAATTGTTTCCAAAGAAACCCTATTGTATCCCCCTTTTTTCACCCTTCCTTCCCTTCCCAATATTAGGAAACATAAATTTTATTTTCGTTCAATTTCTAAAAATTCCAACAAAGTTTCTTCTCAATTTATATCCAATCGTAGCTTAAATTGTTGGAATGATCTCTCTCCTAGTGTTTTCCCCCCTACCCCCCATTCGATCAATTTTATTTCTAATATTTCGTATTGTAATTTTCAAAAATATCTTACTCTTAACCCCCATAACTTTTAACATGTAACTATTTGTTTGATGTATAAGAGACCTATTGGTCCTTCACTCAATAAACTCATCATCATCAACCGCCTTAAAAAACTGATTCGAACAGTAAATTCTCCATTGAGCTCTGACGAAAACTGACCGACATACGACTAAAAATGTATTTACGTGACGAGACCCAATATCTGAATTTTTCGAAAATTTCAACCCTAGTTGTGATTATATTCATTTGAAAGGCCTCGAAAAACTGATTTACACGATAAATTTTTCATTGAGATCTGACGAAAACTGACCGAAATACGACCAAAAAAGTATTTTCGTGACGAGACCCAAAACTTGAATTTTTCAAAAATTTCAACCCTAGTCATGATTATACTCATTCTAACCGCCTTCAAAAGCTGGTTAAAACCGTATATCTCTCATTGAGTTTTGACAAAAACTGGCGGAGATACGACTGAAAATTTATTTTCGTAACGGGACCCAAAATTTGAATTTTTCAAAAAACTTCAAGCCTACTCATGATTACACTTGTTTGAACCGCCTTGGAGAGCTGATTCGAATCGTATACTTTTCATCGCGTTCTGACAAAAGCTGACCGAGATACGACTGAAAATGTATTTTCGTGGCAAGACCTAAAATTTAATTTTTTTTCAAGATTTTCGACTTTAGTCATGATTATACTCATTCTAACCGTCTTGAAAAGCTGATTCCAACTGTGAAACTTTCATCGAGTTGTGGCGTAAACTGACCGAGATACGACCGAAAATGTATTTTCGTGGCGGGACCCAAAACTTAAAAATTTCGAAAAATTTTCAAACCTAGTCATGCCTATACTTTTCTGAACCCTCTCAGCGCGCCGATTCAAGAGGTATTTTTTACATCGAGCTCCGAAATGATTTCGAGGCGAGACCCAAATAATTTTTTTACAACTTGTCCCAGGCGCCGGGCTTCGAGAAAAACAAGACGAACGCCACAATATCTATGCCTTCCCTCCCGGTGTCGAAGGTTGAGTACGTGGCGCAGTGGCTAGCGCAGTTGTTTTTGAATCTCCCGACGCGGGTTCAATTCCCACCGGCGACAATTTTTTTCTTTTCTTTTTTTTTATTTCCTGAGAATTCTTACGAATTCTAAAGCGCAAATCTAATTGAATTCTCATCATTTTTCTGTCATATCGAATGCAATCTGCTGTTCCGCAGAATCGAGAAGAGAAAGAAAGAGATCGAAATCGGTCAGATGACACTGACGCTGAAGCGGAAGCAAGTTCTTCTTTTTCTTTGTCCCTATGTTCACAAAAATGTGGCATTTTCATCACATTTTCAGCCAGGCGCACTTGTCAGCTGACAAAAAAGTTTCCAGAACTTTTTTGTTTATTTTTTTTATCGAAAGTTTTTTTTCGCAAGTCACCTGATTTTTTTGTGTAACAATTTACAAAGATTTTCATCAGGCTAACCAAAATTAAGAAATACCCTTTCCAGTTCCGGCGCACTTTCTAATTGCCCAGTTGTCAGTTGTCTCTCGTTGTCTGATGACGTGTGTTTCTCTTCTGTCTGCGTCTCTCATCGATTGTCTTCGTGGGAGACTCGGACTCTCCGCGCGTCGTACACTATCTCTCGCTTCTCTGGTGGTCTCTCAACTTGATGTGGTTTTTCCCTCCGCTTCTTCACGCGAAACGCAAGACGACGGAGTAGGACGCATCAACATTTTTCTTCTTCTCCTCCACCCTCTCTCCGCCTTCCTCAATACTGTTTTACTTTTTTTCTCGTCTCTAGCCAAGAATGACTCATTTTGAATTTGAAAATTGCTTTGGTTTTTTTAGTACGATTTTGAAGAATTTCAAGTGTTTATTTTTGTTGTTGCTTTGCGATTTTTTGTGACTTTTTTCCCATGAAATTGCTAGTTTGTTAGCATTTTCTATAGAAAAGATGGGCTGAAAATTCTCAGTTTATCGCTTTTTTTCGAGAGTTTTTCTCTGAATTTCCAGCAATATTTTCTCTCCTTTCGACCAACCAAACCCACAAATTTCCATTTATTTCTGTTTTTTCAACAATTTTCATCAAAAATCGAATGTGATTATGCACGAAAACCACTCCAAACTACTTCAAAAACAAAATGAAAAAACATGCGAAAAAATTAGATTTTTAATCCGAATGCATCAAACATCACGCAAAGTTGCGTACTCTCGAGGAAAAAGTTTTTTTTGAGTTTTTAAATTATTTTCCTCGATTTTCAATAGATTTTATTGAATTTTTTCGTGTTTTAGATTGAAAATATAAGTTTTTAGTGTGGGAAATTAGCGAAAATCCAATATTTTTTGTTTTTTCACAAGAAAAGTTCAATTTCAGTGCATCAAACATCACGCAAAATTGCGTATTTTCGTTAGAAAATGATATTTTTTTGGATTTTAAAAATGTTTCCCTTGGTTTTCGGACTATATTAGTGCCGTTTTTTCGGTTCAAAATGCAGAAAAATGACTTCTTTGTGACGGAAATAAACGAAAAATAACGAAAATCCGATTGAAATTTTTTTTTCTGAGTTTCAGAATTATTTTCCTCGATTTTCAGCGAGTTTTCCCGATTTTTCTTCTGCTTAAAATGCAAAATGTTCCCTTTTTAGAGCTAAATTAATGAAATTTTGCGAGAAGCAAACTTTTTCTCGAAAGTTCAAAACCATTTTCCGTAATTTTCAGCGTTTTTTCCTTATGTTTTTCCTCAAAAACATAGGTATTTTTGACTTCAAAAATTCTGCAAAAAACTCACTTTTACACAACGAGTTCTACTATTATTCTCACTTTTAATCAGTTTTTTTCTCGGTCGGAAAAAGAAAACTATTTTGAGTGTTGCTAAACTCGTCTCTCTCAAAAAAAAAACACTTATTTACTCAGCTTTTGACTCGTTTATTTCGAAAGTTTTAGTGATCAGTTTGAACAAAATGTCAATAAATCCCGTTCTTCTTTTTCTCTCCATGGCACTTCTTTACGAGTGAATGTCAAATACTGATTTTGATTGGCCTTTTTCCTCCGAGAGGGGCAAAGAAAGCGATCACTGTGGCTGCACCCTGTTCACATTACTATTCCACCCTTTTAACCTTCAAATCGCTTTTAAAGGGGGAGCGAGAATCGTTTTTACAGTTTCATTTACATATCGAGTGGGAGTGGTTGGGGGGGAAAAACATTGACATATGATATTCCTCCCCTCCTACGTTGTCAGTCATTTCCCTATATATTCATTACCTATCGAAAATTGGTCATTTATTATCTGCTGTTTTATCTGGGAGTGACCGGTTTCTTTCCTAATTTGTTCGTCTTTACCTCAATCTGTTAATCCAATTAGAATCGCGATGAGTCAGCAATTTGGCTATTTCCGTCGTGATTTTTGGAAATTAGACGGTTTTGGCACGGGTTTTCTGGTTTTCGCTGACAATTTTTGAGTCAAAAATGCCCTTTTTTTTAACCCTGTCAACCTTTTAGTCGCTGCGACGATTTTTTAATTTCTCCGCAATTTTTCCCTCATTTCCATCTATTTTTTTTCGCAAAATCTCAGCGAAAAAAAAAATTTTATATCGAAAAATGGCACTGTTTTCAACAGAAGAGCGTTTTTTTTTCAGTTTTTCTAAAGCTTTTTCCATGCTCTTCTCCCAAGAATAGCGTCTTATTCCTCAGTATTTCCTTGAGAATTCCTCATAAAAATCAAAAATTTCTATTCCTAAAAATTTCCCAAGTGTATTGATTTAATATTCTCCGCAATATTTGTGTTATCAGTTCTCCCACCACCTCCTCAACCCCGCTTATCGGTGCGCTTGACCTGAATTTTGTGTGTCAGAAATTGCATATTTCGCCCTCTTAACGAACTGACGCCCTTCAATTCTTTTTTTTTTTCGAGTCATTTTATTCTGAATAAAAATCGTTTTCCAGTCAGTTTTCATCAGAGCTCAATGAAAATTATACCATTCGAATCAGCGGGCCGAGACGGTTCAGAAAAGTATAATCATGACCAGGTTTGAAAATTTTGAAAATTTGGGTCTCGCCACGAAAATACATTTTCGGTCGTAACCTGGTCAGTTTTTGTTACAGCCCAATAAGATTTATACCATTCGAATCAGCTGGTTAATCCGGTTCGGATGAGAACAATCATGACTGTATTTGAAAAATTGTAACTTTGGGTCTCGCCACGAAAATACATTTTCGGTCGTATCTCGGTCAGATTTCATCAGATCTTAATGAAAACGATATATTTCGAATCAGCGAATCACGACGATTCAAATCATGGCTAAATTCCAAATATCGATAGTGTTTTGAGTCTCGCCAAGAAATTCTGAAAAACGATTTCAATATAATCCGACCCTCCCTCTTGCCATTATATGACCGTTATTACCCCCATTTGAGTCATTCAGACACAGCTGTTCCCCTCCCCCCGTCCCCACGCACCACTTTTTGTAGAGCGGAAGTTTGGAGGAGGCAGGGGAGCAAGGACAAACAACGCACACGGAGCACATTGAGCAGCCAGCAGAGCAAAACTTTTTTGTTTGCTCCTCCAAGGCTTTGTGTGTGTGTGTCAAAAACTTGACGATATATATGCATATATTCGCTTTTTTGACGCATCTGATGAAGAGAAAGTCAAGCTGTCAGAGAAGGATTCGACCCCCAATCTGATATATCCGGTTATCAATTTTTCATGTGAAGTTGACGTGAAATTTGAAGTTTCCTGAGTTTTGCAGCCAGGTTTTGAGAGCGGAAAGCTCGATTTACCTTGAAGGCGCATGGAATTTTTTGGGAAAGGGTATAACCAGGTCAGGTTTGGCGAGCGAACTGCTTCAACTTGACAGGCTTATGACCCTGAAGCTGGTTTTGTTTGAACCAAAATCAGTTATTCCAGACGTAAAACTGTCAATTTTTGACCAAATTTGGCTCAGATTGGCTCGAAGTGTTCCAAATCATGTTAGTTATTGACTAAAGCATCTATTCTCCTCCATAGCTTACTTTGCAATACAGTTCTGCTCCACAAGGTGATTCTGAAGCTCCCAATCCCGTGAAACGTGCTCCGATTTTCTATTTTCGGTCAAGAATCAACCATTTTAGACCTGAAATGACTGGATGCTCAGAATCCTTGAAATCCCGAATACTTAGGTAAAAATCCACGGTTTTGCTCTAACGAGGTCGGCTTCAAGCTCCAGTCAACCAGAATTGTGGCTCAGGAGCTCCCGAACTGTTCTGTTTGAGTCAAACTCCGCCTTTTTCTTAGCCTGTAATTGCCAATTTTTGACGGAAGTCTGCTCAAAAGAGCTCAAAATGCCCCGAACCCCGTCAAATCCACAGTTTCGCTCAAAAAGAAGCATTTTTCCGCCAATTTCAACCAAGACCATGTTCAGAATAGGTCTTCTATACACTTCCTCCCTCCCGCGCCGTTCAAAAAACATTTATTTGTGCGGTTTAGTACTACAGCTTCCTTCTGGTTTCCCCTTCTGGTCATCATCATCATATTTGGTGGGAGAAGAGACCAGTTTCTCCCCCCTCTCTATTCTCCTTCATTTGTCCCGTCCCGCCCGTTCACACAAATACACGTGGCGACCGGAGAAGTGTTTTTTTTTTCGCTGCGGTATTACGTCATTTTTTTTTCACACTGGGCGATGTCGGAAATGGTGCTCTATTGATAAAAAAAATTAGCAGTTTTGGCGAAAAAATTGATTTTAATGCGCCGAAATAACTCAAAAAATTCAAATTTGACCGTAAAGATCCCAGGAATTTTGCCGATAGAGCGAACTTCCTTTTTTGCCGTAGAGCACACTTTCTGACTGTTTCTTGTATTTTTTCGCACCGTTTCTCCTCCTTTTCCTCGATTTTCCCCAACTAAATCCCCTTTTTTCCAGAAAATGGATTTGTCGGATGATCAAATTCGCGCTCTACCGCACCACGATCTCGTCAACTATTTCCTGCAGATGCGTGAGGAGTTCAACGAGTTTCAGTCGAGTTCATCGGAAATCGAGAAGATGATGGACGCCGAACTGGACGATTTGAAGGCGCAGTTGAAGCGATCGGATGGGAAGATTCAGCAGTTGACGACAGAGCAGATGAGGAATAAGGTTGG